ATATATATATATATATATATATATATATATATATATATATATATATACACAAAGATATCTGTGTGTGTGTGTATGTGTGTATATATATATATATATATATATATATATATATATATATATATATATGGGGGGGCGACTTAAGGCGACCTCCAGAAGGATTGAACCAAAGAAGGGTAGTCCCAGACAGAAGGCTGCAGGATGACTGGTCTAGGCATTTACTTAGTGAGTAGGTAGGTGGTAGGTGAGAAGCTTCAAGACACACATCCACACTTGAGAACACTGGGTAAGATGGCCAGTAGTACACCTCAAGATTGGCTAGAAATACAACAGGGTAGGTTTAGAATATTGGGGAAGCTCACAGTGGTCAAAAACACAGACTCAGCCTGGATTACCGCAGATAAATGTAAGACAATCTGGCAGAGACCAAGACTCTTGCTGATCTTTAAGAAGCTGGCCAATAAAGAGGCAGAGGGATACCAGGTGTGCTGACAGGGGCAAGACAGTCTCTGCCCCGCCAATAACTGAGTACAGCACTGCAAAGACCACTCATGACAAAATTAGGGAAATCAGAGTAGATATAAAGGATATTGTGTTCTAAAGACTTCCATCCTGTCTGCATTTTCTGTGTGGAGTTTTTGTTTGATAATTAGAACACAGATTTATAAGTCTCATGTATGTGTGTGAAATACTATATGAGTATATAGTAACCTTAGCAGAACATGTGACTTTTGGGGATGTTTTCATTAACATCAAATGGTTCAGCATAGTTTTGGTATGTAGCTTACATTCTGTGCACAATGCTGTGTAACAACATTCAGTCCAGGTTTTTTCAACTGTTACTGTCCGTTGTGAAAAATAGTTGCAATTTTCTATTATGCTTGAGTTATTAATGTCTTCCCAGTCAGAAAAATCTGTTACAAAGTTCCTAAAAAATAAAGTTTTCAAAAACTCTGCCCTAGATGTTGGTCAGGGGCTGTTTCCTTATGGTACAGATCCCACAGGATGGATGAGGAGGGTGTGTGGAGAAAACACAGTAAGGAACTGGATCTGATAAAAAAAAGAGGAATTGACAGAGCAGATTGAAGCAGTCATTAAATGGAGGATGTTTAGACATCTGTTCTGGCCTGATTTACTTTCTCTGCTCTTCTTCTACAGTATTTTTAATGGACCCAGAGTGGACAAAATAATTTTTCTCCCGTTTTCTGTTGATCATTCTCAATTTATTGAGAAATACAAATTAGCAGCCCAGAGTCTGTATTGCATCCTTGACAACTCCACTGCAGTATTTAAAGATGTTTGGGGAACATGAAATGTACTTAGTCCTATAAAATCATTATAGTTGATAGGTTGTGCATCTCTCACTTTGCCATAACAGAATGTAACATAACTCAACAAATTTCGTCAGTATGAAAACTTCACTTTTAATTACAGGCTATACGTACTGCACAATTTGATGAAAGGGAAGACTATTGCTTTATCCCCCTTAACATAATGAATTAATTACAATAAGCAAACATACCTAAAATCACCTAGTGGTGGACCTACTCCTGCACATACCTCCAGGAATGCCTTAATTCATGGAGCTCCTACTTTATATCCAGTAATTTTTACTTCATCATTTCAGTGTGCTGCAGTGAAAATCCGAGGATAAGAAGTGGAGGTGAGGCCCCCAGCTGTGGCAGCACTTACTAATGGCATTTGGTAATGGGGTCAGGGTCATCGGATGTTTCTGCATTAAGGAATGTTGCCCTGATCAAACTGATGAGTGGTTATCCATTGTCGGCGTGAGCTAATCTGGTCTATCTCATGAAGCAGGTTCAACAATCTCCGAATTAAATCATTGACTCTGAGTTGATCTACTCTCAGTTTGAAAACTCTGGAAATGCTGGTCTGAGTTAGTTCAATCAACTCAGATTTTTCCTATGGAGGAAAAGTGGCTTGTCCCGATCTGATATTTGGATCTGATCGGCCGCCGATATTCGCAAAAAACTGGGTATCGGCCGGCATGAGAAAATTCCAATCCAGACTCCCGATCCAGTTTTTTTTTAAGTCCGATCCCACACGAGCATTAGCACCTCCTTACCCACAGGTCTGTGTCGTAACCAGTAAATTGTTGGAGGGTAAATCCCTGTTCAACATGAGTCTAACAACTAAGTAAGTAGGCTAAATAACTTTAAACTTTAATACATGCTCTAATAAGCCGGGATCGGCATCGGATCGGTGCAAATACAATATTGGTATCGGATCGGAAGTGAAAAAAGCTGGATCGGGACCTCCCTAGAGGAAAGCGTGTGCATCACAACTCTAAAAGGCCATTCTCAATGGAGCCCCGATTCTACGAGTCACCATGATGACAGGCAAGCGGAGTCCACTTATTTCACTACAGTGGAATTAGGGACTTTAATGCAGGTGTTACAAGCCTACTTGAATGTTAGAGCATGACAGCGTTATGTAGTGCTGCAAATGTGAGGATGGATAAGGTCGTGGATGTATGTGATGGATTGTGAGGTCAAAAAGATACAGTTGTAAGACAGTGGATTACTGTTGTAAAGTTCCACTCTTTAATAAGTCTTTGGCAGACAGGCAAACAGGTCACAAACCGGCAAACAGTAACCAGGAGGGGAGAAGCTGAACTTTTGGTCAGGGACAGAAGGCTGGGTCGATTTACCAGGAGGCAGACGAGCAGGGGAATCAGGGACAGGCAAGGTCGGTACCGAGAAGACAGGCAGGTAAACGCTGGAAAGTCTCACATGGCACAGAGAGTGTGGAGCTGTTGAGTATATACACTGGATGAAAGGCAGCTGTGTGCACAGTAGTAGAGTGACTGAGGAGGGTTGTGGCTAACAGGATTTGTGAAGTAAGGCAGGATCAGAGGAACTTACTGAGGACTGAAAGATTGGACTGTGACAAAATGCCATATTTTTGTTTTAAACGCCTACATTAAACACCTTTTTTACTGTTCGCACAGAATTCCGATAAAACTCTCCTGACTATCCTGAGGCAGTGAAACGGCATTAGCAGTTTAAACGGGGCGGGGACAGAGTTTATTGAGGAAAACCTGATCCTGACCAGGACACTTATGGGGAGAATGTTACTACAGCAACAGACACATAGGTTGAGTAAACTCTCGTTGTGAAATGGAAAACTCAGTCTAAAGAGAACCTGCTTTGTGAAATGGACCCCTTCTCTCTGAAACGTACTTGGTGTTGTACAGTTTTTGGTGGTCATACTATTCATACTATTGAGTAGTTTTTGACAGTCTTTAGTCACTTGGCACTCAATATTGGAGTGTGATATGAAATTGTCTGTCTTGTCTGCTCCAGTGCATTAGATCTGGTCAGGGGAGAGGTATGCATTGCGTCTACTTTTTTTCAGTGGAAGGGTTTGGGTTATATTCTTGGTAATGGGTTGGCTGAGACAAGTGTGTGACCCGATTGTCCTCCTAAATTTTAAACACAGCTCCTTGATTAGTGGGGAAACCAGCAAGGTTTTCCAGCAGTATCTTTTAATACAATTTGTGTTGTGACATAGGCAAATGCTAGTCATAAGTCCAAAGCAAATGGGAGATTTCAACCTGTGGGTTGTTCAAACCTCTGTGGGTTTGTCAAACTTACTTTTTATTTCATGTAAAAAGTTGATTGCTGACTAGTAGTCAAATCTTTCCATTGGAGACGTCTTGGAGGCAGCTTTCTAATTTGCAGAATGAAGGATAAGGCTCAAGTTGTATTTTTTTATGTCAAAACGTTTTTCAGAATGTTAATAACATCCTGTGTTGTGGTTCTATGCTTATGGTTCCTTATATGGAAAACTATTTTGAGATGTAGGTGGAGGCAAGTTCGTACAAACTAATGGCCAAGGAATGGATTAGCTTGTAGTTTTTTCCTACTTCGTATGTTAAAATATTTGTACGTTGATTCAAATATTCAAAAGAATACACTGTAATTCGTATAATTCGTTCCACAGCCCAAAAACCTACGATAACCCCTTAATAAATACTGCAGATAATTACGCATAGCACTGAAACAAATGCATTATATAAAAGAGATGTAAAAAGAAATAAATGATATAATCAATAATAAGGGGGTTTTATTCGCACTTTACCTCGGAGACTTGCGAACTGAGGTGTAGGCTTAGTGATGCAGGTGATGGAGGAGACAGTCGGTGTGGAGGTAGCAGTGGTGACTGAGATACTCTATGTACCGTAACTAACTTTCCCTACGTGAACTTTAAACTAACTTAGCTTATTTATTCTTATTTAATTTTTATATTTTATATATGTTTTTATATGAATTCGACATCATAGAAAATGACGTATGTTGGAAATATTCAAGTCGAATATTTGATCAAATTTCACTTTGTATGTTGGAAAATGTGTGTGTTTAGGCAATCGTTGAGGTAGAGGTTCTACAGTACTCTTCAGATCTATTATTCTGAAATCTTAAAACTGAGCTGTCATATTTAACTTCACAAAGCAGGATACCCCAATGTTACACTTAGCAGTAATCTTATTAACACTAAGGCAACGATCAATCGCCCTCTAATGGACTGGCTCCCCTCCAAAGGCTGCACCCTGCCTCACCCCCAATGACAGTAAGAATATTCATAGGTCTTGCAACTCTCCAAAATTTGGATGAAGTGGGTGTAAAATATGGATAGATGAACTGACTGATCAGTTAGCTATATACAAATGTAACTCAAAGCTGCTATCTTTATTTATAAAGCAAACAAACATGATTTATTAACAGTGTAACAATCTGAAATAAGAAAATGTGATATCTTAAGAATTCATACAGATATGCAAACCTTTGTTTTGTCTGTGTTTTCTTTTTAACAGTGGATTCCAGCAATCCCAGTCTTCTGGCACCTCACAATTCTTTGGAACGATCATTCTTCATTCGGATGAAGTCTACACTGACAAAGAGAGGGGTACACATCAAGTCTTCAGGATATAAAGTGAGAATTAAACCTAAAATAACTGCATATTACTACAATATTGAACATTCCTTTTGAAAATTATTTGAGTACTTATGTTTGTTGGACACATTGGAAAAAAGGGGAACAATTTTTAAAGTGCTGCATAAGGCAACCTATAATAAGTGGACCCCTGAGCAGTCTCCATCCTTGAAGAAAGGACTTGAACAAGAAAGTGATTGATTTATATAGATGCTGAATAATCGGTTCCTTTGAAGCAACTGTATACTATGGTATTTAATGAACTTGTGTTGATAAGTGGAAATCTTTTACATCTATTATGATGCATAACCATGGCCAAAGAAATTAGTTTGCAAACTGCGCTTTCTAAAGCCCAATATAAAATCCTCAAAACAGACCTCATATGAGAAGTGAGAAGTCAGGAATACAGAGCAGGAACAGTCGAGAAAAATATGAAAGAGGGATTTTCCCTTGTTTTTAAAAAAAAGTGTGAAATCATCCATCCATCCATTTTCGTAACCGCTTATTCCCTAATGGGGTCCCAGGAAGACTGGTCCTAACCCAGTAGTCAATGAGCGAGAGGCGGGGTACACCCTGGATGGTCCGCCAGTCCATCGTAGGGCAACACAGGGACAAACAAGGACGAACAACCACACACACTCACACACACTCCCAAGGGCAATTTGGAATGTACAATCAACCCAACATGCAGGTTTTTGGACGGTGGGAGGAAGCTGGAGAACCCAGAGAGAACCCACGCAGACACAGGGAGAACATGCAAACTCAACACAGAAAGGTCCTGGTTCCCCTGGGGAGTCTCTTGCTGTGAGGCAATGGTGCTAACCACCACATTATACATACATAAAATGGACAAGCTGATGAAGACACATCAAGAATATATGGATTTTTTTTTACACATTCAGTTTTTTATTAAGATGTGGCTGCTGGAACCTAATACATCTCAATAGCTCTTAGCTTAGTAAACTGCAGACATAAGTAAAGGATCACTACATTTGTTAACAACACATAGTTTAGTAATGGGCATTGCAATCAGAAGTGTCTTTGCACCCAAGATGTTGAATACCATAGAAGACTGAAACCGACAGAATTAAGAAAAAACAACTGAAATATGTAAAGGGTCCAATGAATAAACTAATGCATCTAAATAACACCAATTATTTGAAGAAATGAGACACAACTTGATACTTCTTAAGTTTCTAAATATCTCATTGTCTTCTACATATCTCAGTGAAAAATCATTTTTAGTTATTTAACTAAATGTATTATTTGAGGACCATGACCCCACTTTTAGCTGTGCTGACTTTCATTCCAACAGATTCACTTTCAATTTTGACACAGACCTTTATATGACACTGAAGAGATGTGCTTAGACACCAAACCACATCTAGAGCCTTTGGCATCTTAATGTCATCCACTACTGGCACCTTACCATAAATATGGAAGGTTTTTACCTATCATGATGACCTCTGCTAAAGTAATGGATAGGCCTTCACCCCTCTTGTCAGGCATGGCCACTTTTTGTCAATCCAGATGTTATGTTGTCACAGTCGTATTTAACTGGGGTAACTTACTTTGGTTTATGAGATATTCATAGACATTTTAAATACAATTGCAACAGTTACAGACAGATTTGTATGCTTTTACATATTTACAATTTGACATATTACAAGCGGCCTCCTTATGTCCTTGTGGACATACTGTATTGGGACACCGTTCACACTTGTGTTTTAAATAAACATCGGGAAAAAAGTTCAATTTGATCTTCTGCGGTTACTTTGGTTGCAAACAAAAGGTGATGTTTATGAAAATAATTGTATGAAGACTAACTAAGCAAAAAAGATTAACCGATATCTCTTTCTCTTATTCTGCTATTTTTATTCTTCCAAGTGCTCGAACAAGCGTTCTTTCTTAACCCCCATTTTCCGGTAGCAACATCGCACTTAGCTAATCTCCAGAACTTTTTTATTTCTGGGAGAGAGAGGCCTGAGTCTCAGCTTTGGGGATGTTGAGAAGTTTAATTCTTCATTAAACCTTATGGTGGTACAACAGAGAATCTCCATTATCCAGTTCCTACAAGCATTTGTTCAGTGTTCTTTAAACATTACCATATACGCATAACAGAACTAATGAAAGGAAATGTGTGCTTTGGATAAAAGCATCTGGTAAGCTAAATAACCTAGTAGCCCGTCCAGGGCTTTGTTTGTGACCCTTAACATGAATCCATTACGGCTATCGATCCGTATGAAGGCATATATTACCATCTCGGCCACAGGATCGGGGAGAGAGGGATGAGACCTAGAGATGTTTATGAGGTGATAGAGGGCAAAATTAGTAACGGGCTTTATGTGTGACTCAAATGATGGGTTGGAGTCCAGGATGACACCAGGGTTGCAAACTTAAGGGGACTGAGAAATAGTGTGGCCATCCACATGGATGAGCAGATCATCAGAAGTGGCAGAGCAAACAGTTTTTAACAGTACTGACAGTTGGGACAGGAAGTCAGTGGAGCTGGAGACTTTAGGTGGGTGGTACATGAGGATGAAATTACTCTAAGAAGACCCAGGCAGAGTGAAAGCCAGAGACTCAAATGAGGACAAGTGGCTTAATGATTTCATAAATCATGTTGTTGGGTCAGTGAATAACCCTCCAGGCCACCACCATGACTTACAGAGCGAGGCTTCTGTAGGTAGCCATAGCCTGAGGGCTATGAGATATTTGACATAAGACATTTTTTTAAATTCAATTAAATTCTATTTAATTACATTGTCAATTACGTATTATTTATATAGTGATAAATCACAAGAAATGTCAATTCTAGACAGTTCAAAAGTTCTTAGTAAAGAAAACTAGCTAATTGCACCAAATCCTCTGTTCAATCTAATCCTCCATCATGATATTCCACAAGGTGATTTAGCAAGGGTGAATAGACCAGTTTGGGTTTTATAGGACAGGTAAAAGGGACAACAGACACTACAACAGCAGCTTGGTGGGGAGAACCACAAGTTAATTACAGCAATGTCTCCTGTACACTGATGAAAAGGGGCAAAAAGGAGAAACACAGAGAGGAAATGTTATTCATTGGAGCACTAGGCCCCATTGCAGCATAACTACTGGATGTTTCAGGGTCACTTGGTTCACCCTAGACCACAACCTTTGTCAAAAAGGTTCCATTAGCGAGGGACCTGGTCGTATATTCCATTCTACATTCAGAAACATTAGGAAGCACAAGTAGACTAGAAATCTGAGAGCAGTCAGATTGCTCCTTTAGGAAAATATTTAACTATCAGAGTTTGTGGATACATGCTGAAGTAGCATTTGCTACTCATTCATCTAAAAATCTCTGTGCCTACATAATTTCTAAATATTATTTAAATATAGGCCATTTGAAAGTTGTACAATCCACCATAAATGAGGCCCCTGTTCAGAACATCTTCCAGATGTTTCTCTAGTTTACACCGTGGCATTTCCTCCTCAAATGAATTAAAATTAGGGTTCTTGTGGGGGACTTAAGTAAGTGTTTGAACCATTCTTTAAGCATAGCAAATCTTTATAATAGATGTTGAAAAATGTTAGACACCTGTTACCTTCATATGTTGAGCAGACGTTGCATGTCAAGGGTCTGTAGTCCCTCAGTTCAGCCAGCCCAGGTTTGAGTTGCAACCTGAGAAAAAAATGTTAAAAATATGCAAACCATCGAAGTAGAAAAAAATACCCTCCAAATCCCTTTTTTTTTTAATAATCCATATAGTTCTAAAATAAATCACTTAAACAAAATATATGCATATGATTAGGGCGACTGTAGCTTTCTGAAATGTAGTGCTGCACATTTTAGAAAATGAGCAAATGGAATTTCTGCCCTCCTGATTTTGATATATTGTGTTTTTCCCCTTAGGTAATCCATGTCACAGGACGTCTGCGGATCAGAATGGCTCTGATGCACAGTAACTCTGTACCTAATCAGATAATGGGAATGGTAGTAGTAGCTCATGCCCTCCCACCACCCACAATTAATGAGGTTCGCATCGACTGTCAAATGTTTGTCACCAGAGTCAACATGGACCTCAAGATTATTTATTGTGAAAACAGGTAAAGCACAAGATCTTTGTTTTTGAAGTCTGACCCTGTGTAGGATCCTTTTTAGCCTTGAGCAGTTGTGGCAGTATGTAGAGAGGGGTTTATCCAACTCTCTAATTTTGACTGGCTAAGTACTAATTTATATTTAAGGATTCAAATGGACATTCCCTGTTCTGTTAATCCCCTGTGATCATTATTTTGCATTTTTCATTATGTTTTAGACATCTACAGATCCATACTCAAATGCAGCAAACTGAGCAGTGCCAAGATAAATCTATCATAGGTGCAGTGTTATGCAGTACTGCTCATGTGTAACCTGCAAAAGGAATAAACACTAAGATGAAAAAGTCAGAACTTTTTGAAGAAAAACTAGACGAAAATTACAAAACTACAAGTGACAGAGATCTCAACAATCTTTCTTATGTTTGCTATTTTCTTAAAATTATTTTAGAACTCAGAAGTGCACTGCCCTCTTGTATTGCCTAACAACCAATTAAACATAAAGCATGCTTGGTAGTAGGTGGTAGTGACACTCAACTTTTAAAATAGCTGGCATATCAAGCGCTGAGAATGTCAGAGGATTTTTGAGGAAGATTCCTCGATTGTCTTGGCAGAAATCACCAGGGTAATTCAAAGACATTTTTTTTAAACTTCACATTCAGATGGAGCGGAGTAGTTTTCGTCTTTGTTTACTTTACCTTTGCAGAGTTACTGAGAGAACAATGGAAATTTGACCATCCAGTGTCCATGTGTTTTTGTGGAATTGGGAAATACTTATGTCCCTGTTCCATGAGGGAATCTTCTGAGGGATTACAGGCTACCCTGATTACTTATGTGATTTTTTCAGTCCATGAATTAACCATTCTTTGCAAACGTATCTATACAAATAAATAGAGACAGCCAACCAGACCTTTCTAATAATTCAAAGCATTGGGCAATAACATAACCATTCTAACAGATGTGTTATTGTCCAAGGAAAATAATCTAAGGTACAATAAAAGTAGAGTATGCTTCCAGCACAAAATACGTATCTCTGCTTTCCACTACTACTTCAAAAAAGGAAGACAACCTTTTCCCCTGAAGTGGCCAATCTTATGCAGTCTTGATAAACATTACCTGTCTGAAAAAACACTAAAGAGACTATTTAACCTGATGAGAGCCAGAGCACCTTTAAAGGCAGAGACTAAAACCCTTTATGAAAACAACATAGTAAAAAAATCTTTGATAAAATAGAATTTGCTCTGTTGTAAGTTACAGCCTTGGGCTTAGTTACATCTGAATTTCCTGTGTGAATATCACAAGCCCAAGCCGTCCATCAATATTGGATGATTAAAAAGTTCTCATCAGCTCTTGCTCATGTATATTATACCTTTAGATTAATATATTTGCTAAAACAATGTGTCTGGTACCCGAAGTGCCAGGACTACAATTCAATTAAATTTTATGTATTTTATTTTATTGTTTTTTTATTTATATATTTTCTATTTTATTTAACTGGCGCCAAATCACAAGAGCAGTTATCTCACAGCGCTTTTCATAAAGAGCAGGTGTAGACCGTACTCTGAAGTTATTTACAGAAGCAACAATTCCCACCAAGAGCAAGCACTAGGCGACATAAGCAAGGAAAACCTTCATATAAAGAGGCAGAAACCTCGAGCAGAAATATGGCTCGGGGTGGGCAGCCATCTGCCTCGACCGGTTGGGGGTGAGAGAGAGAGAGAGAGGGCAAGAGAGAGAGAGCGCAAACAGGATCACTGCTAGAAACCCCTCCAGTAGCACACAAAAGCAATAGAGTATGAAGATTTTTGTTTTCAAAGGTTGGTGTAAAATAGTTTAGTAGAAATTTCAAGGATATATAAAAAATATACCAAAAATCCAATGGTATTGCAACATTGCCATGAATGGAATATTTATTTTCTTTCCCCAAGACAAGGTGGCAGGAACATCTATAAAACAACTCCATCCAACCTGTCTATATGAGGAGATGGTAGATAGAATCTCAATATTAAAATATTTTTTTTGTGCCTGTTTACAACTGATGGTGGAATACTCAAATCTTTTGCCCTGTGCACTGGAGCTGGGATCAATTCGAGAAAAATTGCCTCCGGTTGTTGTTTTTTCTTCATCATCTTTGGAAGTCATCACCCTGAGTTTTAAGAAATTAATATGATTTATGTACCCCAGGAGTAAAATCAGATGTTAATGGGCGTAAAAGATTTATAACAATAACAGATAAAGGACAAATGACTCATCAGTGGCACCTGATGTCTTGGGAGTTTCTATGAAGGCAGATTTATATCTGGCAGGTGTAGACTGTTTTCAGAAATGTAAATATTCCAGAAATATATATATACCCAAAGCCATTACTACCAATTACTAATTTTGTACTGGGTTCGTACACTATTATACAAAAATGGTAAATAAACATTGTGTATTGTACTCCTATAATATTGAACCAAAGATATTTAAATACATTGTTCTTAATTATATTTATCAATATGAATCTTGCAATGCAGTGATGCATGCTTCCTGTAATGAAAGGACATAATAGAGGGACTATTGCTGTTCCTTCTCCCAAGCATTTGAAGGCATTTAGTCTGCTTACTTCAAGAAAAGGCAAAAACTCCAACATCATTATTAAAATGAAGTCATTATAGAGGAATAATACAAGACTTTATTGTTTATGTTTTTAATTTTTGTACTATTAATAATATAATTCAAGAACAAAGTTTATCAATACACTGCAAAAGAGGATTCACAATTACCTTTTGTAGCAGTTTTTTAACAGTGCTGCAACTAGTGAAATGAGCTTGGTCATATGTGCACATTATTCACTGTTCCTAGATTTTGCTTAAAATAGTATATATAAAATATATAAAATTATTATTTTTTTAAAGATCAGTTAGTGCTGCGGAAAGTTTTTGAGAAAACACTTTTTTTTACTGTGTTTATAAATTTAGCAAAAATTGGAATATATCAGAGGGAGGCTCAAATATGTATTGGAATATATTTTTGAGCATAATGTAATGCAATAATGTGAGTTTTTTGTGGTTTCTGACGTTGGAAAATCTAACAATTTCTCAGCTAAAACTTACTTAGAACTGTCTGAATTACCTATTCTGAACCAGCACTGGAATCTCTTTCATTATAAAAGTTTCTGTAATATATTTCCTGATTTGTGAGAATTTTTAATCTATTGTATTTTAGGATTAGTGACTATATGGACCTGACTCCACTGGACATTGTGGGGAAGAGGTGCTACCAGTTTATTCATGCCGAAGATGTAGAAGGAATCAAGAAAAGTCACCTTGACTGTGAGTATTAGCACCACTTGTGCGCTTATTAGGAAAAGTGTTTAGAAAAGAGTTTAGATTAGCTATGGCAAATGTTTATATTGACATTATCCCAACAATAGCTTTATCCCTCAAATGAGTCAGTCCTCCAAAATTGACATTTGTTCTGTGCATCCAGTGTTCAGGTCCCCCCAGTAAAGGCGTCTACCCTCAGGGGACAGTGCCTATAGATTGAGAACCACGGCCATAGTTTAATCATACATATAATGACAAATATCCTAATATCCATTTGCTCTCGAAATTTAAAAGTTATTAATAGATGTTGTTGTTTTTATAATTGTGACTCAATCTAATATTTGTGCTTGAAAATGTGAAAATACCTGGAAAAATAGTGTAATCTGAAACCGTCTCAGTCTAAGTTCTATATACATATTACGTGACTAATTTTAAGATGCTAGTTAAAAAATAAAATGCTTATACTCTCAAAGCCATTTTTTCCTCTACAACGTACAAGCGAAGGATGCTTATTTTACATATAATCCCGTTCAATTTTAATGAAAATCAGGCAAAATGCATTATTAAATGCAACACAGACACGCAAGACAAAACATTCACAAGGGCAGTTTGGAAAATTATCCAATCAACCTAACATGCAGATTTTTGGATCGTGGGAGGAAGCTGGAGAACCCATTTTTGACCAAGGCTACAGTTCTACTAGCCTATAGGTCTCAGTTATAAACATGTTTGATTCTCAACTTCTCGTGGTATAGTTAGGCTTACAGCATTTAACTGTAAATGACAACAACTGAATTTGTAAAATGGTATGATATTTATTTCAGTTATTTAAAGCAAGCTATATTGTAAATTTAACTGTATTGCGTTGGTGCAAGGATTACAATTTTTTTATGTTTACAATACAGCACCATATCAGTTCTACAAAGAAACATGATCCCTTTCACATACACTGACTGTAAAATTAATATTCATTCATGGTTTTGTTTTTTACAATACATTCCTTTTGAACAAACACTGATTCATTGTTTTTCTGGTTGGAGATTTTACAGAATATTAATCTTTATTTAACAGACATTTTTACACTTTGGCAATGACCTATTTTAGCTGCAATAATTATCTCACCTGACGGTGGTGCTCTGTTTCTAGACTTAGACTTAGAGTTAGAAAACTTTACTGTCATTTTGTGTGTACAGAGTGCCCACAAAACAAAATTTCATTGCGCATAGCTTAAGACAAGAACAGGTTTCAATAATTTAGCAGTCTGATGGCAACAGGGAAAAAGCTGTCGTATAGCCTGGTGGACCTGCAGCGGATGCTGCGGAACCTCTTCCCAGCGGGCAACAGGGAGAACACATCATTGTGGGGGTGTGGGGTCTACGATTATTTTACGAGCTCAGGACATGCAGCGCTGGGGTGAGTTATCCTCAATGGAGGGAAGAGGAGCCTCACGTTCCTCCAGTCGGAGGCACTGCAGCCTCCACACCACACTGAGAGACAGTTGGTCAGAATGCTCTCTATGGTGCATTGGTAGAAGGTCGTGAGGATGGGCGGGGGCAGGTGGCCTCTCTTCATCCTTTATCAGGAAGTACAGGCGCTTCTGTGCCCTCTTTACCAGTGATGTGGTGTTCACAGACCAGGTGAGGTTGTCCGTGATGTGCACCCCAGGAATATGGTGCTGCTGATCAACTCCACAGCTGAGCTGTTAATGAGCAGTGGAGCGTGACGAGGCCGGTACTGAAGTCAACGATGATCTCCTTGGTCTTCTCCACATTCAGTATCAGGCTGTTGTTTCTGCACCAGCCCACCAGCTGCTCCACCTCCTCTCTGTAGTCCCGGTCGTTGTCGTCTTTGATCAGGCCCACCACCGTTGTGTCGTTTGCAAACTTCACGATGTGATTGGTGGAGAACCTGGGGACGCAGTCATGTGTCATCAGACTGAACAGCAGGGGTTTCAGGACGCAGCCCTGAGGGGAGCCCGTGCTGAGGGTGATAACATCAGAGGTTTTTTGTCCGACCCGGACTGACTGAGGTGAGGAAGTGGAGACGATGTGATCTTTTACCAGCCTTTCAAAGCACTTTATAATGATGGGAGTCAGTGCAATGGGCCGGTAGTCATTAAAAACAGGTGACTTGAGGTTTCTTTGGCAGTGGAATGATGGAGGCAGACTTAAAGCACACTGGCACTGTGGCTTGGTCCAGCGAGGTGTTAAAAATGTCCGTGAGGATACCAGCTAGCTGACCTGCACACTCCTTGAGCACCCGCCCCGGTATGTTGTTGGGACCTGGGGCCTTCCGCGGGTTGACTCTTCTCAGAGTTTTCCACACGTCGGCTGTGTACCTCCTCTTCCTGATGGGGAGCAGCCTTCATTGCTGGAGTGCTGTTTATTGCCTCAAACTAAGTTATTTAGTCCATTGAGGAAGTCCACATCAACTTCACCCACTGGGGGGGAGGGCTTGTTGTAATCAGTGATCGCCCGTATGCCTTGCCACATGCGTTTGGTTTTGCTGGCGTGTGGAAAAGATCCTGGATATTTTGACTGTGGGTCCGCTTCGCTAAACTGATTGCACGGTTCAAGTTGGCTCTCGCTGTTTTCAGTGCCTCCTTGTCACCCGACTTGAAGGCCGAGTTCCGTGCTTTGAGTGCTTAGCGAACCTCCTCAGTCATCCAGGGTCGTTGGTTGGCTCGGGTGATGATTTTCTTTGTGGTGCTGACGTCCTCGATGCATTTGTTGATGTAGGCTGACACAGTCATGGCATACTCATCAATGTTTATCATGTTGTCATATGTTGCTGCAGCTTTGAACATGTCCCAGCCAGAGCACTCAAAACAGTCCTGGAGTGCCTCCATGGCCCCCTCAGTCCACACCCTCACCTACCTCACTGTAGGTTTGTAGGTACTGCCTGTATTCAGGAATTAGCATTACAGAAAGGTGGTCTGAAGAGCCGAGATGGGGGCGGGGGACTGCTCTGAATGCTTCTTTTATATTTCTATAACTAAGTTTAGAGTGTTCTCTCCTCGAGTTGCAAAATCCACGTGTTGGTAGAAATGAGGGAGAACCGTTTTCATATTGGCATTATCATATACAGTAGTTTTGTGTCCAACTTCCGTCTTCAGCATCCGTCTGTAGTTTCATCCAGGGCAAAGTTGCAGATTGAGATAACACAGATAGCTTTGTTCCAGACAGAGGGTGTTCTGCCCGTCTTAAATCCTCAGCAGGTCTCTCAATGGCGATTCCAATTCAGCCGAATTGTGTTAATTTCCCTCCATCCAGAACTTCTCCAAGGTGTTGCCCATCTCCTTCATGCTGTCAGGCATCGTCCCCATGCTGCTCCTATGAGCCTCCTTTCTGCTCCACTGAGCATCCATTTTGCTCACCAGAGTATCGTGTTTATGTGACAACTCGCACAAGGTTTGAGTCAGTGTTGATAAATCGGAAAAGCGGCTCGATCGGCAACCCAACACCAGTTGCCGTCAGCCTCCGAATTTAACTATGAGAGTTTAGATTTAATCGTTTGGAAAGATAGATTATGAAATCAAAACATTCCTTTTTGTGTTTCTTTATCTCTATTCTTTCAGTGATGAACAAAGGCCAGTGTGTGACTAAGTATTATCGGTGGATCCAGAAGAATGGTGGTTACATCTGGATCCAGTCCAGTGCCACCATTGCTGTCAACACCAAGAATTCCAGCGAGAAGAACATCATCTGGGTTAACTATGTTCTCAGGTCTGAGATCAAATCAGTTCATGTCAGAAGCTTAATTGGTATACACAGTAATAATCTTGACATTGACTTTATTCTAAAAAAGAGACTTTCTTAGTGTTCACATAATACATATGTTCCATTCTTATTTACATTTACGGTTTATTATTCAAAGTCTGACTTATGAGAACAAAACATCCCCCATTGCAACTGCAATCTCGTTGCAATTCCAAAATAAAATGTGACATCTATCAACAACTTTTCAATATTTCTTTACAGTAATCCAGAGTATAAAGACACACCAATGGATATTGCTCAGCTTCTAAACCATCCAGAAAAAACTTCCTCTGAAACCTCGGACTCTGAGTCTGAGGCCAAAGAAAACTCAGGTATGTAAAGAAAAGAAGAAAGGCCAGGCATTTAGAGAATCAGGCGGGAGGTTTGAAAGTCAGGTAAAAGTGATGGTTTTATGTTTTATCATATTTATCAAGGGAATCGTCAAACACAGCTTTAATAGTAAAATAAATAGTATCACAGAAATTCTCATAATTGCAACTTCTCAAGAACATTTGCTGTAATTCAATTAAAAAAAAATCACATACCCCTGATGTAAGGGAAAGGCAAAGGGAAAGAAAAATCCTTGAGAATTTGTAAGTTGTGAAATGAAAACATTTCCTGTTGAAAGTGGACAAACCATTTGCTGACTCATTGGCTTCAAATTTGACCTGCTGAACCTTCTCCATCAGGGCTTAGGTTTGCAAAGTCCAGGAGATGTTTCTGGAGATGTGGGTTCCTTGCTGGCTAACAACGACATACAGTCTGTAAATTGAGAGCCTATCCCAGCCATTGTTTGGGTCACAGACAAACAAAACAGACAATCATGAATGCACTCATTCACTCCAGTGGTTTATTCGGAGTCACTGAGTTACCTACAAGGATTTTTTGGTGGTGGGAAGAAGTCGGAGGCAATGAACCAGACAGAAAATGACTATCTCACTGCCACGATCAATGTGGAGATAAAGATCAAGTTAAATATGTTTGCTGAGTGCATCCTCCTCATCAAGTACATTGTTCTCTCAAATGCAGACTACCTTTACTGTGTTTTGGTTACTTTGAATGACAAGGGTTTGATTTTTATAAAGTCCAAGTTTCAATTAAATTTAAAAAATGTCCATCCCTACATTTTTTAATACCTGCTTAGTATACCATGATTACTTCAGTCAGTCTAGAAGGATTCTCTATTTTGATTATTTCTCGACTTGTTAATATATGTGTTTCAAAACAACCTAACCATTATTTCCCTCATAGAAAATGAAAATCCAAGGTCTGAGAGGAAGTCAGGGGACCTGGCAGAACATAGTGAGAATCCAGAGACAGAAAGCAAAGATCAGAACCGCACTGGACAATCACATTCCTCCTCTGAACAGGAAAAGAAGCGACAGGAGGAAGAAGACAGTTCCAGTAACCAAGAGAGTCAAGACAGTGATTACAGTCTTGGACCTTCAGATGTTGATCAGGAACACGAGCAACATCTCAGTGGAGGTAGAGGAAGAGAGGGTGGCAGGGTTGGAAGATTTGTTGAAATAAGAGGATTAGAGAAACTGAGTGCTATAAGTGAGCTTGGTCATTTGGATGGGCTTCATATTAAAGTAGAACATTGTGGAGATGGAGAGCAACTGCACAATTCAAAAATGTCCTCATCAGAAGAGGAGGAAAAGGATAATGATTACAAACATAGAGAAGGAGATGGCTGCAATAGTAAAAGTGCTGGCAGCAAGCTCCAGAAAAGGCGAAAAAGGAGGAAAGTCCAAAAATGGGATAGGGGACGAAGGAGGCCCTGTCTCTCGACAACTCCAAGTAGCCCCATAGTAGCAAATAAAAAATCGCCACATGTTGATACCTCTCCTCAGCTCCTAAGTTCCTCTGGGTCCCTTAACAGCCCAGGTGCATCATCATCAATTCTTAAGATCAAGACAGAAATGGGGGAGCCAATAAACTTTGACAATGATAGTAGCATCTGGAACTATCCCCCCAACAGAGAGATTTCAAGAAATGAGTGTCCTTACAGCATGATCTCCAAGCCAGCTGCTTCTGGCAGTCATGAAACCTTCCCTCAACCGCAGGGTGGCTCTCAACAGGTAGTAATTCCTGATTCTGTTCTCACCCCACCTGGACATGAAGGAGGTGTGGGAGGAGGAAGGAAGGCACCGTGCAATGGAAGCACAGGCCCCAGCTCATCCTCCACTATTTCCAATATAGCTCCTGCGTCCAACACCTCGTCGGCTGCCTCCCTATCTCCTCCTCCCTCAGCATCCCCAAGGGACAAGCAAGGCACTCCTTCCATATCCTCCTCTTCTTCTTCAATATCCTCTTCGAATTCTTCCTCTTCAATATTATATTCTAATGACCTCGAAGCACTGCAACGTTTGCAAAGTGGGAATGTATTGCTTCCCTTGGTTCACCATGTCACAGGTACTTTGGCTTCCAGCACGACAGCACCACGTGTCTACACCACTGGGACAATAAGGTATGCTCCTGCAGATGTTACATTGGCCATGGCACAAGGTAATCTTCTCCCTAATGCCATGAATTTCATTGACGGTTCTAGTTTTGGTCTGGACCCCAAAACACCCATGGAGATGCTCTATCATCATGTCCACAGGCTCAACATGTCAGCTGCTGCAAATGGTAGCCCATTTGTAGGATCTCAAGCACCCACAGGCAGTGCTGGTGCTTTGGCAGGTCAAATGCCAGCTACAGGCAATGTTTTCACCACTGCAGAGGGATTACTCTCCAATCTTCCATTCCCAGTATACAGCAATGGGATCCACAGTACACAGACTACTCTGGAGAGGAAGAAAGATTAACAAAAAACACCCATGACCGAATTACTGTGTTTCTGTGGCAGTCTAAGAGTGTTCATTAAGACAACTAATTTAATATAAACTTTGTTATCTTTTATCAACACAGATTAGCACTGTGATTACGCAAAGAAAAAAAAGGAACGAGATGTACTTGCACTTTGAGCAACTGAGCTTGTGTAACAGACTTGAATGATCCTCAAATACGTTTTTTCCCATCTGGTTTAATTTCTTGTAAGATAAAACATTTTTTCTTCTTAAAGAGATTAACAAACCACCTAACTTTTCTTTAATATAAAGAATTCTGTGCACATGCAGAGAATTGAGAAACTAAGGTTTCCAGTTAAACCTAAAGAGGAACAATTTCATTTTGTGTTTTCTTTGTTTTTTGTTTGTTTATTTGTTACATCCTTGTAAACTGGCTGTTTTAAAGCCATTAAAATAATTAAAACCAACAGAAAATGCTATTTGCTGCTCTTCCCAATATATTGCCATGTGATGAAGGCTTTTTTAAGTTTGGAGAGTAGCCACTATAAAATCCCACAAGATTTCAGCAATATGTGGAAAAAAAAGGTTTTTGAGAATGTTTCTTGATTAAGGGATGAGAAAAGTGAGTTATTATTTTTCCAGGCATTAACAGAAAACATTCTATCTCAGATTTAACATACATATCAAGCAGTACGAGAAGAGGAGAAAACATGTCATTTGTTGAATGTTACAGGTCCTCTTTGATTTGAGGAATTTACCTTCAAGACCCACATTAAAATAAAAGTCCTCTACATCTTTTCCCATATCAGTCATCTATTTGTCTTCTCTTTCATCATATTCAACATAAACTTTCAGCCCACATTTGCATCACTTCTACAGGTTCTATATGCTAATGATTGTAGCCCTGATTCAGCTGGCTGATAGGGTACTCTAATTTGAACCAAGCCTTCTCTGTGAAGTGAAGTGAAGTTATGTATGTATGTATGTATGTATGTATGTATGTATGTATGTATGTAT